CAAAACTCCTGTGCCTAATTAAAAGCAAACAGGCCAAAAAACAGGGCTTTTTCTAAGCAAGGATAAACTCCTCTCATTGTTGGCAGTTGTGATGTTTTTTTTCTATTTAAAAAATTAAGGTCTCATATTTGACTTGATATATGTTATGTCATATTTGACATAACATTTGGGGGGGGGGAGATTTTCTTAGGGGCAAGATATTTTTTCCTCACAAACAAGCAAGGCAGATATTTTTTTTCAGTGGAAAAACGGTGCAAAAGATTTTTGGGGGGAGATTATCTCCTGCAGGTTTTTTTGTTCACTCTAGTCAGGAGTAGGAAGGCCCTCAGATGAGAATTTTGAAATAAATAGCACCCTGCATTTCACAGTGGTTTAATTCTTTGTAACAATGTTTAATATTGTGCAGTGTTTTGCCAGCACTTGCAGGCAATATTTAATCCACTATTGTTAAAGTTAAAGGTTGCATGTTTGTCTGTGGTGGTGTGCGCTGACCTTTTCAAACACAAAAGCAGTGTGAAGGACTTCCTTGTACTCCAGGTGTGTAGGGCTTAAGATACAACATTAGCAATTTCTTCTTGTTTCCTTATTATTTAGGCTTAATCATGCAGCAATTATATTTTAGAATCCAAGTGTTGTTGTGTTTTGTTCAGTACTCCATTCAATTCATTTTCAGATTATAATGTCAGTAGAACTACAAAATATGACAATGTTCTGTTTTAATGATGTCCTGGGTTAATAGTGTTATTGCAACCAATGTTATTAATACAAGACCTTGAATAAATCGTGTTTCCAACTGAATGGAAGTGTTTTGATTTAACAGTCAGCTGTCAATGAAATAATCCTAGGTATTTAATTTATAGATGTTAATTAAAAGATTGTCATGCTAGAAAAAGGATTAAATAACTAAACGGCTTATTAAAAAACAATAAACTGTTATGATCAACTCAGTGAACACTTCAGTTTTGGAGACAACCTTGCTATATAATAGTAAGAAAGCTTGTATGTAAATGACTCAGATTTGCGAGACTACCGGTAGGGATGGGCTGTCTATGATTTGTACATGATTTTTTTTCCTCAGAGCTGGCCATGCATGAACTTTTTCTCTTTGCTTGAGACGCTGCAAGGCGTTTTTTTCCAAATCTTCCAACCTCCATCCCCTGTGTGCAAAGAAAGTACTGTCAGATAGCCTGGGGCTAGAGGATTTTGCTATTGGGCTAGTGAGTTTTGTTCTTAGCTTGCCCAATGGGCAAGTAAAGTTTTTCTACAATTCAAATAACAGAAGGACTGTCTATTCAAACCCACCCATCAAAAACTTTTGGGGATAGTTAAAGTGATGTTTGGGCTAGTACATGCTAGCTATAGCTAGCCCGAAAGGCAAGCTGTGAAACTGACTTTCTTTGCACCTTGATCCCCCTCAAAAGTCAAATGGTTCGCCCCTTATTATACTAATATATGAATAGAAGTATTTAACATTTTCAGAAACAAACTAAACATTCCAAAATAAATATCTAACTTACCATATTTAAAGCACTACAGTTTCGACTCAGTCACAGTCCAATCAATATTCTGAAAACCAATATAACCTCTCATTAGTTTCATTTTACCGAGGCCAGCCTGACCCTCATTTTTTGTGAAGAAAAGAACCAAAACTGAGCAGGAAAAATGGAAGGTATGCTAAGAACATGAACCAATGTAATAATGTCATGTCTATTTTCGTGTCTATACAACACACCCTGCTAGCAGAGCCTTTTTTTACACTCCAGCTGGATTTTGAGCACTTTAAAAATACTCTGCATAAAACTATGCTAACCCTAAGAAAAAATTTCTCATGCTTGTTCACATAGCCTGAAATAAACATGAGAAGTTGCTGGGAAAACTGGAGGCAGTTGCACTAACTAGGAGGGTGTAATGGGTATAGCTGTAGTCAGTAAACAGCTACAAATATGCTACTTAGTCAGTAAACAGCTCAAAAAACACTAGTAAGTCAGTAAGCAGAAAAAAAACGTTTAGTCAGTTAATTGGCAAGGTTGAGAGTCCTGCAGATGTTAAAATCGATTATAGGGTGGGGTTTCCAAATCAATCACTCCCCAAGACTCCCAAGTTCTCTCCCACTTTTCCAGTATGCAATGTACTAGTTTGCAATGTTCTTCATCGAATCAGTCTGAAGTGAATAATTCACTGCAGACTGATTTGATGATTACAAATCCAGCCTAAGCGACACCCTGATTTATCTTCCATGGTTGAGCCTAGAAGACAGCACCACTCTCCTCTTCATAAATAACTTAACCTAAAACTTAATATTTTATTCTTAAAAGTCATAATAATATTATTAAGTAGGCATATTGCAGGGGTGTAGCTACCTGTACACACAGTACGCATATGCATACAAGTCGAGAGTAAAAAATAAATGAAATAAAACAAAATAAAAAAGAGAATAAACATTAAACAACAACAACGGCAATATAAAATGCCTCTATTCCGTTTTATCTCTGTTTGATTCTTTGGAGTATTTTTCCTGAAACAATGGACTGTTTGTTTTTTCCACACCTGAAGATCGGTTTTCCAAAAAACAGACTCTTTTCTCCCACATCAGAAAGTTGGTTTTCATATGAATCTTGATGATATACTTTAAGATGCACGCAGATAGCAAGGAGGGTGGTATAAAATGTGAACATGTTATTTTCACTCAGGCCTGTCTTCACAGCACGATTACGTCAATGCGGGTGCTTCTGCCGGTCAAATTTGGAGTTGGCGGGGGGGGTAAGGGGATTTGAAAATTGTGCGTACCTCTGGAAAAATCCTGGCTACACCCCTATATGGTACTGTATTCATCACCCGTGAATACCTTTATACCAAGTAAATCTCAACAAACTGAAAAGTCGGGAAAGATTTGAATTCAGCCTCGGGAAAATATGGGTTTAAATCACTGAAACAACGGAATGTTTATGAAGATTACCCAAAAATGTAAACTTCGATTTCCCTATAGAAGGTTCAAGTAACGTAAAACAATTAATTACAAGAAGTCACTGAGAAATCAACACAATAGAGACAAAGGAAAATAACAGCTAGAAAACAAAGGAAAAGTTCACAGGTTTTTTTGACCGAGTACGACCCTCACCATCTTTTATAAACTAGCTTTTATTAACTCTCTTTTCGTTTCATGAACTAACTGTTAGTGAATAGGAGCTCTTTCTTCTCAAGAATGGGTGTTGTATAATAATTTAAGAAGAGAATGGCGTATATGTTTGGGAAAGATCACAAATGACGAAATGACTATACAATTGAAAGAGCAAGTACAACAAGGCGGGACGCCATATTTACTTGAGAACAGAAGCATAAAATTTGCCTGAAATTCACATCTGTACTCGAATCTAAACTATTTAAAATGCAACGTACCTCTCTGGATAATTAACTTGAAAAAAAAAAAAAGATTAAACAAAAGAAATACAGCTGATAAGGGAGAGGTTAAGCTCATGCTAAAGGATAGACCCGGAACGACAAGACAGCGACCCCGACAGCAACAAATAAAAGCGAAGGAAGGCTATGTAAAAAGAGAATATTGTCACATCGTGATGAGTACAAGTGAAAGTCTTACCAGTGCCTTAACACGGAGAGCTGGAGTTTGAATCAGTTTGCAGCGAATAGACTCGAGCTGGACGCTTCCTTTCCCTATCTAAAAAATCTGTGTGGGGATCATGAGGCTGCGGTCATAAAATTCCACAAGGTTTCAAAAAGGTCACACTTATCACGGTCTGCATGACGGCGTGGTCAGTGAAATAGACTCTTTGATGCTATTGTTTATGCAGTTCTATGACATATACAAGGTCTCCTTTATCACGGAGGTCTCACCCATCTCGCTACATACGTCTTGTTACCTACTGGTCGGTATCAGTATTTACAATTAGGTTATTTTGTATTGTGCAGCAGTGTAAATAAAACGATCATCATCATCATCATTATTATGAAGTGGGGAGCTCCGCTTTTAGGCTTCTCTAAATCTGTATATTGTAATTGAAAGAAAAACCTAATCAAGTAATAACTGGCAATCTACACCATTAATACGCGAAAAATATTTACAAAACATTTACAGATAAAATTTAAAATCCTTATGAAATTAGAGCAATTTTGGACATGAAGGCTTCAAGAGATCTCTTAAGAGTTCTTATATCTTTAGATTCTCTAATCACTGCTGATAAGCTATTCCACAGTTTGTTAGGAAAGAATAAAAGTAAACGATTTATGCAAGCCCACATAAATTATAGGGGACATTCTTACATCTAAAAAGTCTACTGATATACGGTCTACCCTGGTTATATAATTAGGGATTGAAAGTGTCGACGTTGATCTAGAGATTGGATTTAAGCAATGGTTAAAATGTTCTCGTACTACAGATTTTGAATAGTTGAAAATGAATAGTAATCACGAACAGTTTTCTCCATTTTACTAGCCTCACCATTACCAATACCCAGAAGAGGACTACAATGTTCTAGGTGCAAGAGACAATATGCTTTATGGGACGTCCATTCCATCCTTTGAGTCTTGGCGAGTCTCTGCAATGAAATTTAAGCCCCATTTACACGGCCGGAAATTTTTGGCACGGCTCGGATGAAAAAAGTACGCGTACCAAAAAAATTGGTTCGGCATGGATAGATTTAGTCGTGTAAATGACTTTGCCCCATCCGTGCCGGACCAAAATTTCACCCGTGCTCGGACCATGTCGAGAGGTAGTCCGAGCACGGATAAAACTGGTAAGCGATACTGAAAATCTAGCCCAGCTCGGATAAGGTGTGCAGTGTAAACGATTAGCCGTGCCAAACCAACTTTTCTCTGATGAGCCTTCGCACCTTTGGTCAGCACTGATTTGGGAGAGCATGTGCACATCGACCCACGATTCACTCAACATGGCGCTTAGCGGGAAGCAGAAGACGCTGCAAAAGTTGCCAGGAAAATCTCGCGGGATAGCGTGGAAGGACAAAGATGTAGAGTAGTTAATAGAACTGATGAAAGAAGAAACCATTATGTTCAGTTTAGAAAACGCTAAAACGCCGAAGGAAAAACGGGCTGTTTACAAAAGTGTTCAAGTGCAACTGCAAAACAACGGTAACGTTCAGCTTGTGGCAAATATTGCACACTGAAACTAGTATTCACTTCAAGATTTATTGCGAGTTCCTTGAAATAATAAGGTTAGAAAGAAAATAATTCATCTTCTGTTAACTTTTTCAGCTAGACTGATTTTACACGTTCGATTTAGCTGCTGGTTTAATCTTACGGACTGGATGAATAATTTGATTTTTGCTTGCCTTTTTTTGGGAAAAAACGTCTTAATACTATTGCATGATAACCGGCGTATTTGTTTTGTTTTTGTATCTGTTGACAAAATTCGCTTTTTTTGTGTAGGGATACATTTTCAATTAGAAAGTATCATTAACAAGTGGAAAAAGCTGAAACAGCAACATAAGCAACATCATGATAAACAAAAACGAAGTGGGACTGAACGTCGAAAGAAATGGAAATTCTTTGATGACGTGGATCAAATATGTGGTCACAGGGATACATCTTCACCCGCATGTCTTATTGATTCAGGTCTAGCTGATGAAGGTGCAGGTAAAGTATTTCTTATGTCTATCTGGTGGGGAAGGGCCTACATGGTATATGTAAATATCAGGATAATGACCTCCATTACGCTACGCTTAGCCGTTTGAGTGACTCCATTTCAAGCTTTTACATTTTTATGTAAGCTTATGTATACCTTTTAATTTTTTTGTGCAACTGAACATTGCATGGAAGTCTGTACTTTAAAAATTATTATTACTATTATTATTAATAATAGAAACCATACTTCAAGACTGTCAGACTGGCAAAAGTGACGGCATATTATCTTCCTGTGTCAAAAAAAGGTTAGCACGTGGAACTGAGGGAGAGCAGAAAATTCATATTGTATTTATCCCGTTTTCAATGTTAGGGTAATATTATTATTTTCTTTCCCTCTGTTCAGATTTGGAAAGTGAAACAGGTGATGATAGCAAAATTGGCTCTGATGATGAAATGGCAAGTGTGCATGATGAAGAGCAAAGCAAAGATACAAATGACGTGTCTGTAGAGGGATGCAGTGAACTTACTAAACGTAAACTGGAGCTAGAAGAGGAAGAATTAAAACCTCATGTCAAGAAAAGCAAGGTTTCCAAAAAAGAAAGGAAGACAAGCTTGAGAAATCTATTGCAGTGTTAAGTGACAGCTTTAAGGATGCTGCTGAACGGGAAATGGATATGCTGATGAAGCTTGAACAGATGCGACACAAAGAAATGTTGGAACATGAGATACGGTTGAAGGAACTGGATAATGAACGTCGCAGAGAGGAACGACAACATGAACTGATGTTGCTAAATCTTTTAAATAACAATAGAAATCCATATCCACCCCAAATGATGGATTTCTATAAAGGGAAAAACTCCGGCCCCAGTGGTAGTGAAAGCAGTTATTTTGAGCTTTAAAACCAAAGTTCTCAAAGGTAGCACGTTGTGGCCTGTAGAAAGATTTTTCCTCTTAAAACAAGTTGTTGTTTCCTGTTCAGCTAAGAATATGAATCAGTTTTATTGATAATTCCATTGAACTGTTAAAGAACGTTGTTTTAATTATAAGCTGCGACAAAGCTGATATAATGTCCTAGTTACACTGATTATCTTTTTAAGGAGTCAATTTTGTATAACAAAAATGTTGAACAGTAAGGACAGTGACAAATATGAAAGCTTGCATGTTGCTTATAAAGTTATATCATGATCAAATATTTTTCGCGGCAAAATATTTCAAATAAAGTTGCTATTATGACTATAATTGAACCATAGTGTTTTAACTGGCTACTACAAATGTGCTACTGTACTTTATATACCGTTTTTTCAAATACAGATTGATCCAACTCGAAAAAGGAATTATTCCACTGCTAATCGAAGGGAAACCTTGCACTATTCTTTTTCGAACGTGAAATAAATATACTGCAACGACTCTAGGCAAAATATTACAAGATGTTCACTGACACAGCTTCTCATTTAGAAATGTAGATTGACTACAGCAGTGTAAGTTCAAGATCCATTAGTAAACACCCTTTAGAAAAGAGAAGTTTCTTAATAGTCCATTCACCATTTTCACTAAGACCACAATGCATTTTGTTGCCCCCCTCCCCTCGCCCCCAATTTTTCCATAACCATTGTTTCCAATTTCTTCAGGGTATTACAGTCGTCCCAAGAGAAATCGAACACAATGGTTAGGGTTGGGGTGTAAATAAGGTGCATTATGGCCTACGTGAAAATGGTGAATGAGGAAAAAATTGAATTTATTCACTGGCACTACCAAGTGTCCGGCCCTCAGGTGTCGTGAAAAATACTGCAAGAGCATCTCGAATGTTGGAGGCATCTCTTTCCCTCTGATTTGCCAATGGGATGTTGTCAGGCTGTTCAACAGCATTATGCACATCCTCAAGCCATTCTTCTAAAAAGTCATCCTTCCTTAATTCACAGATGTTATGAAGTATACATGAAGCAGCCACCAAGTAGCATGCAGACCTAACAGCCATATCTATACGCTTAAGAAGACGTCAGAAACGTCCCTTCCATCTACCTAAGGTGTCTTCTGCAGTCATATGTGCTCTGCTGAGCCGGTAATTGAAATTCCGTTGCCAGTTGGGTGTGTTTTGGTTTTCTGGATAAGCTTTTATTAGCCTGTCCAAGAGAGGGTAGGCTGGGTCCCCAAGAATAAAAGGGCCCATATCAACGCCGAGTATTGATTCTTTCATGCTGGGATCAAAAAGTTGCCCATTGCATCCACGATTATAAAGCTCTGAGTTGGACAGCACTCGGGCATCGTGGACACTGCCTGGCCAACCAATGACGACATTGCGAAATAAATACTTTGAATCTACCAGTGCCTGCATCACTATACTGTGATAAGATTTCCTGTTTATGTAATCAGTACGGTTTTCCAGGGGAGGTTGTATGGGAATATGGGTACCATCGATAGCACCTGCGCATGATGGAAATCCCCATTTCTCTTTGTACAGCCTCATGACTTCCCTCAAGTCTTCCCCTTTAGGTACTTTTAGGAAATCGTTTTTCAACTTTTTTGTTACAGCTTTACAAACATCTCTTATACAAAGACAAACGAAGGACGTGGAGACACCGAATAAGTTAGCTATTGTTCTGTATTCCGCAGTGGAACTCATGTAATAGAGGGTTATTGCTGGTCTCTTCCTTGGAGAGACGGCTTTACGCATTGGAGTGTCCTTTTGAACAATTTCGTCCTGAATCTCTCTAACAATGTAGTCGAATGTTGACCTTGAAACGCGGAAGTTGTCATACCACTCTTTTTCTGTAAAAGCTGTCTCCACTATCTCAAACCATTGACCACTTCGTGTCAGTGTCCAAAACCGTCGCTCAATAGAAGTACAAGCGAGAACTGATAAAACAATTAACAACCTGTACCTCCGCCTTTTTCTATTCTTCAGTAAAGCAGTCGAGAGAAAGGTCGATTTCCATATTTTCTGCTGGAACACATGCGGTCTTCTTATGAGAAGAAATTCCAAGAACTTTTTGTCCGCCATGTTAGCAGCATGCGCACTAGGCAAGAATCGAGTATGCTGGCCAAGATGTTGAGCCTTTTACCCGTACCAAAACATAATTTTACATCGTTTAGCACGGTAGAAGAAAGGACGTGTAAATGACTAATCAGTACTATTTTTTTGGGTACGTGTACCACTTTTATCTGAGCCGTGCCTAAAATTTTCTGCCCTGTAAATGGGGCTTTAGTTTGCTATCCAGAATCACCCCTAGGATCTTAAGTGTATCTTGCATCTCTACATTCCTATCATTAAGATGAAAGTCATATATGTTCATATTGAGACGGCCCAATGGCAACTGCTTGCATTTCTGCTGCATTAATCTTTAAATAATTAATTTCAAACCAGCTAGATAGTACACGATTATCAGAATAAATAATATACTGCAAGACCAGTGGGCAGGGATCCTAGGCATATGTAGTCGTATCATCGTCAGCTTACAGCCTTAAAGACGTATTAGATACAAAGTAATTGAGATCGCTCACATATAAAGTGAATAACAAAGGGTCGAACAAGGACCCTGGTGGTACACTGGCACTTATAGCTCTCCACTGAGAATAAACACCATTAACTATAACTCTTTTTCTTCTTCCTCAAAAATACACTGTCACAAGTTCCAAAGTGTTATCTGTAAAACCGTATGCTTTTAATTTGGCCAACAAAAGTGGATGGCAAATGGAACCAAATGTCTTGCGTAAATCAACAGCCTCTCTTATGTCGAGAGAATCCTCAGTCACTTTTAGAAGCGCTGTGCAACACAAATGACTTTTGAGAGAGCCAGATAGATTTGATGAGAGCCTCGAGTACCCTTTCTTCCACTTGCAGCTTCTCGCACATACTTTGAGAATGCTATGTAGGGATCATTTTTGTACTTGCGTACATTTGTGCCTTCCTCAGAGAATGAACGCTGGAGATTTATTTTCACGCAGCAGATAAAGAAAGACTGGTGGACTAACTGTCTATGTAGTACATTGTATATTCCCACAGCCTGCACATCTCTTTGCAACACAATAACTTTAAACATTGTAGTAAAATCCTCCTCACCACTGTGTTGTGTCTTTCATTTGTAAGCAGCATGTAATCTTAATACTGCAAATTCAAATTTAAATGTTATAGCTGTTTATACTTCATTTATATTAAAAGCACAGCAGCTCCTTTAGAAGATCATAGTTGTACAAGTCTAGTTGAAATATTGGTTGATTGATTAAATATGACAATTTTATTACCCTCTGGTCATATACACATAACAGTGACATCAGTGATTTTCTCAACAACAAAAGGTCTAGTAACAAAAAGTAGACAATATTTTTTTCTGTGGGTCCTGGTATACTGAGAAGTCTGAAGAGCTTGCAGGGAATGATTGATAGCTGAAGCTACAGGTTCATTTCACAGCCGGGTCAGAGGACAGGTGGCCATGCTGTGGATAAATAAAGGACCAACCCATTTAATTGATCCAGGTCGTTTTTTGGCTTGGTTGCCAATCAATAGAAAAGTGACTTGTATAAGTGATCTGTAGAATGTTACCTGTAATAGGTATGGAAATTCCCCTTTATTACCAGTACATCTCTGTAGCAGACTTAACAATGTGTAAACAATATTAATTCTCTTACAGTTACTATCTGTTCTAAAAAGCAGCTAATAGCCCTGCCTTGTGGGACACCAAGGCTTGTATGTAATCTTGTTTTTCTAACCAAGTGAAATGTGTCCAGTGAAGGACCTATAATTTATTTTCTGGTGAGCAGCATCTCTTCAACCCCAGCATAAGAGCTTTAAAGTCAGAAAAGCCTTTTGCATGATTATGTACCCAAGGAATGCTCAGTAGGTCATGGTATTATAACTCGATATTTCTCAAGGGTAATAAACAACGCAGACAGGCTCTGGAGGAGTGAAGACGTTGGAAAATCGCTCCCGCAAATTTAATCTTTGAATCTTCTCCTGCTTGCCTCAATACATTTATAGCGGAGCTCCTCCCACGCGCAGAGCGGAGCACCATGGGTAAGAAAATTTGGTAAACTATCCACCTGAGAAAATTTGGTTATGACATAGCGTACGCCCACCCGCCCGCCCGTACACACGCTTCATGTAAGTCGATGTCAAATGTCACAAAGGATCTTGCACAACTTGACTCGCCTCTTAGTTATGTAAGCCATCCGTATGAGTACGATGAGATTGACAGCTGTCAAAATTAGGCATCCGCTGACAATTATCACATGACTATCTCGCGGGCTCAGATGAAAGACCAGTCGTTTTGCCCCTACATATAAGCGGATATAATAGGTCACAATTACCAATTCAACATTAAAACAAAACTACGCCGGGCAAGGCTGTCAGTTGGCTGACAGTTGTTTAAAGATATATTGGCAAACCAAATTAAGGTCAATTGACAGCTGTCAAAATGGGACATGTGCAGACCACTATTAGAAAACTAATAACGTGGGCTCAGGTTCGCTCAGGTACACGATTTGGCATTTTCCACTATATGCCGGACGGATATGTCTTACTCACACTTGTAGTCTGTTAATTCGAATATTCGCCATTGTAATGAAGGTTAATTGACAGCTGTCAAACTAGAGTATATGCTGACCATCATCATCTGAGTGTATCGCGGGCTCATTAGTCTATC